AAATGACACACGGTGATACTTACTAAGTTGACAAGCTTCACAAGACAAAGACGACACATAATTAAGACTGGAAACTAGGCGCTTCAGATTCTGGAGAAAGGGATGTCCAAAATGACAATGCCATTGAAAATGAGACAACGAGGTTTGTAGAACTTGAGTAGGTGAATCAAAATTAAAGTAATATAGGCCACCAGCTTCATGCCCCATACCGATCTTCCTCATCGTCTTGAGATCCTGAAAGACACAATAAGAGGGATAAAAGGTTACAGAACAATTGAGAGAACGGGTAATCTTACTAATGAAAAGTAAACTAAAAGGAAAATGAGAAACAAATAACACGGAAGATAAGGACATATCAAGACTCAAGTGAGTAGTCCCCAAACCTGAAATTTTAGAACAAGTACCATTAATAAGAATAACACTACATGTGGAAGTAGTAGACTGATAAATAGAAAAAAATCAGACGCACCAGTCGTGTGGTCAGAAGCGTTAGAATCTATGATCTAGGAACTGCGAGTAGAGGGCAATAAATAAGTGGAAGCAGTACTTAACTGGGTAAAAGTAGCAGTGGAGGGAGATGAAACAGCCTGCTGGGATAGGAACTGAGTATTCTCTTCTCGTGTAATAGTAACTGACCCAGTGTCTAGTGGAGCTAACCGAGGTATGGAAGCAACAACAGAGGTTTCATCCTGATAGGAAGCTTGATTCGCAGCACCAGAAGGTTTTTCATGTAAATCCCAACAGAAATCAGTAGTGTGCCCTCCACGGTCATAGTAAGTACAAGAACGAGATCCATTAAGGCCCCCATGATCACCCGTATGACCTCCTGTACGACCTTCTCGACCACCACGACCATCACGTCCATCTCGATGACCATCACTATGGCTATTAGGAATCACAAGAGTTGAGCGATTAGTGAAGACACCATGGTTGATGCCTGAAGTAGACAAAGTAACACGTTGTACATGAGAGAAAACCTCAAGGAGTGAGGGAAGACTAGAATCACCCAAAATCTAATAATGAATAGTCTCATATTCAAGTTTCAATCCTACCGAAAACCTAATAACATTTAAGTCCTTATTTTGCTTCTGCCAAACTACCGCATCAATAGTAAACGGATGATAGGTTTTTATCTCATCACAGACTCCTAGAATGTGACAATAATAATCCTCAATACTCAGAGTACCCTGCTCCAGCTAGAAGTACTCCTTGCACACCTCATAAGCTCGGATAAAATTACCTATACCAGAATAGATAGTGGCTAAGTGATCCCATATCTCTTTGGCAGTATCAAGATCTAGCAGAGTAGAGCTAATATTATGCTCAATGCTATTCAACAATAAAGAGATAATCTAAGCATCCTCTTGTTCCCACTAATTATACCCAAGAGTGTCTTCCTTGAATTTAGGATTATCCAAATATTTCTTAAAACCTTTGTCTTGAAGAAAGACTTGAACAGAGTGGGACTATAAAGTGTAATTGGTCACATTGAGTTTAATGGAAGTCATGAGACCATTAAGAAGAATCGGAGAAACAGAGGTAGGTGGTAAAGATAGAGCAAGAGCGTTAGCATCTTGCTAGGGTTCCATAACAGTGCAGCAAATAACAAACAAGAGAGTCTTATTAGTTGGTTGGGCTACTTGGATGACTGAACTAAGCAAGAGAAGTGCACTGGATTGTTGAACTGAATTAGGAGAGTTCACTGGCCCGCTGAACCGGACAAGAAAAGTCTGCTAGATCGTTGAACCAGACAGGAGAAGTCCACTAGACCGCTGAACTGAACAACGAAAGTCCACTGGACCGCTCAACCAGACAAGGGATGGCTCTAGACTGTTGAACCGGACACGGGAGATTCACTGGGCCACTGAATCAGAGAAAAAATAGATGAAACCGGTTTGAACCGGTGTAACCCTTACTGAATCGGGACTGAACCGGACTTGGACCAATCTGGTCTGCAAGCTACTGAATTTGAGCTTGGATCTAGATTTGGATATGTCACCCAAACCCGAAAACTGAGCAAACTTGAGTGGGTCTTCTTCTTCACCAACAAACCTTGAAACTTACCTACTCTATCGATTGCACCAAGGAAGCTACCAACGTCAACCACACCAGTCGACGACGCAAATGTCTAGCTGCTACCACCACCACCAGACGAAGTCACCGATATCGATGACCAGCAACCACAAACATCAGCACCGCCACCACACAACAGTCGACAGCGCCACCACCATACCAGTCGACAGTGCCTCACACCCAACACTAACCAGCGACTACCACCACCACCAAACACCACACAACTGCGATTGAACTGGAAACCACCAACGTCGACAGCCTCGCCACACCCAATGACCGACTATCACCACCACATACAAGAAATTTTAATAGTAGGCACAACGACGACGACCTAAGTTAATAGTTGGATTTAAAATTATTTTGCTCTGATACTATGTTAAGTTGAGAGAATTAACACAATATTAGAAGAAACGGAGAGTGGTCAAACTTAACTTACTTTTTATNAATATTATGCTCAATGCTATTCAACAATAAAGAGATAATCTAAGCATCCTCTTGTTCCCACTAATTATACCCAAGAGTGTCTTCCTTGAATTTAGGATTATCCAAATATTTCTTAAAACCTTTGTCTTGAAGAAAGACTTGAACAGAGTGGGACTATAAAGTGTAATTGGTCACATTGAGTTTAATGGAAGTCATGAGACCATTAAGAAGAATCGGAGAAACAGAGGTAGGTGGTAAAGATAGAGCAAGAGCGTTAGCATCTTGCTAGGGTTCCATAACAGTGCAGCAAATAACAAACAAGAGAGTCTTATTAGTTGGTTGGGCTACTTGGATGACTGAACTAAGCAAGAGAAGTGCACTGGATTGTTGAACTGAATTAGGAGAGTTCACTGGCCCGCTGAACCGGACAAGAAAAGTCTGCTAGATCGTTGAACCAGACAGGAGAAGTCCACTAGACCGCTGAACTGAACAACGAAAGTCCACTGGACCGCTCAACCAGACAAGGGATGGCTCTAGACTGTTGAACCGGACACGGGAGATTCACTGGGCCACTGAATCAGAGAAAAAATAGATGAAACCGGTTTGAACCGGTGTAACCCTTACTGAATCGGGACTGAACCGGACTTGGACCAATCTGGTCTGCAAGCTACTGAATTTGAGCTTGGATCTAGATTTGGATATGTCACCCAAACCCGAAAACTGAGCAAACTTGAGTGGGTCTTCTTCTTCACCAACAAACCTTGAAACTTACCTACTCTATCGATTGCACCAAGGAAGCTACCAACGTCAACCACACCAGTCGACGACGCAAATGTCTAGCTGCTACCACCACCACCAGACGAAGTCACCGATATCGATGACCAGCAACCACAAACATCAGCACCGCCACCACACAACAGTCGACAGCGCCACCACCATACCAGTCGACAGTGCCTCACACCCAACACTAACCAGCGACTACCACCACCACCAAACACCACACAACTGCGATTGAACTGGAAACCACCAACGTCGACAGCCTCGCCACACCCAATGACCGACTATCACCACCACATACAAGAAATTTTAATAGTAGGCACAACGACGACGACCTAAGTTAATAGTTGGATTTAAAATTATTTTGCTCTGATACTATGTTAAGTTGAGAGAATTAACACAATATTAGAAGAAACGGAGAGTGGTCAAACTTAACTTACTTTTTATACTTGTATTTATAGTTAACTTACAATAATAAGAAAGACAAATACACCCTCTTATATTTATACATAATACCCTAATATTCTTAACAATTTATACATAATACTCTAATACTCTTAACATGTTCACAATTTCTGTAACTTCACAAAAATAAATTCTTATAGCTCAAGGTGAACTCTTTTTCAGTTTTTTTAGCTTATCTTCTAAGAGTTTGAAAAGCTTCATTCTTTACTTTTAGGTCTCCTTGGAACTCCTTTTGACAAATATCCCATTCTTGCTTCATTTGGTAGCTCCAAGGATTCTGTAAAAGTCATCATTTGAAATTAACAGGAGTTCTTTTGCATCCTTTCTTCTATTATCTCTGAGCTGCTCTGCTTGACAACCAACATCGAATTGGGCTCGGCATTACTATATTTTAACAAAATCCCTCTTATTTTACAATTACTAAAGATGATTCTTGATTTGACTGGCCAATAATCACAGTGGTTTCTTGAAACTACCGAAATTGGTGGCTGATTTGAACTTACACTTTGGCTGTGAGCTGGCCATGGATTTTTTTTCTAAGCTTCTTTTCAACTTGTATTCTTCATATGCATGAGCTGTTTTCAACGGGACCACAACTGAAACCAGGTTCCGTTGGATCTTTGACAGCAAACAATGGGGAAATGTGCAGAGAAAACTCAGATTTATCTGCACAGAAAACTTAGATTTAAAGAAAGAACTCAAATTTAAAAAATTACAGCAGAAAACTGGGGAAGGAAAGCATGACCATGACGATAGCCACTGGATTTTATTAGTTCAACAAATCGGACACATCATACATAGAAGCTGGTTTTCAGACCAGAAATGCACAATAAAGAAGACTTCTCAATTTACATATTTCTACCACAGCTTACAAACTAAGGGTAGTTAGCTACGCAAACAGCACTAAATGTATGTCGTTTAATGACGCGTTGAACATGTATCAACTTTGGCAGCTCTCTGGACGATAAATAGAGCTATGTATTTAGCATTCTATCTTAAATAGAGCTATATATTTAGCATTCTATCTTAACCCAGGAGTGGTTTCTTAGTAATTCCAGCATTTGTAGTAACAGTAAGAACTAAAACAATATTAAAGTGCCTGTGTATTGGATATTTCGTTATTGCTTTGTCTGTTTGCTCTCATGCCAGTACGTCTGTATATGAACATGTATCAGTGATGGCTTGAGTTGATATGAGCACGTGACATTGTTTTGGTTCTGCTTGTTATCATTTTAATTTGGATCCACTGTTCTTTTGGTTTGCAGGAAGCATATAGTCGCGCCCGTGATAACCCTTTTTTCGATGGGATGAGAAGAGGTGATGCAACTGCAACGAACGGGCAATCTATATTCGACTTACAAGGAACAGTTTCTGGAGGGAGCATTTCTCGGTCAGCATCAGATATTGGTTACAGAGGATCCAGGAAAATTCTTATGGATATTTCTGAAAATATCACATATATTCCACCCAATGATTCACCACCAGACGTTATTCTAGAGCCTTTTGGCAAGTCTTTATCTGGAAGGTGGTCAAAGAGTGCCAGAACAACTCCATCTCCTTTAGCAAGCCTTCAGTTAGGTTTGAACATTGACAATGAGGATGAGAATGAATTAACAAATGAGTCCAGTCCAAGGGCCTGTGAAGCAGATGAAGAGAGCTATACTCTAAGTGGTCTAGCAACACCTGCAATTGAAAGAACATATACTGTAAATAAGAGAACAAATCTCTCTAAAATTCCTCTTCCTCCATGTGCGGCATCATTTTACTATGGAAATTCACCACCAATGGAGATTGTGGAATCATCTGAAGGCATTCAGAAGGTTAATCTGTACCTGAGAGCTAGAAGGGATGATGTCAATGCTGGCGTGCCAGGAAGATTCTTGCATGCAGTAATAGGGCAGGAAGTCTCTGGTACTTCGTATTCTTCACATATAACAGTACAGCATTATCTAATTTAGAGTAGCTTCCTCATTTTTCTATGTTTTCTTTAGTTCTTTCTTCATTTTTTGACCTCTTTATTGCACTTATGAGAAAATATGCAGTAACTTTCAGCATATTTTTCAATTACATGAAGTGAGTTAATAAATGTTAATTACTCCCAGAGAAAATTGTAGAAATATAAGAGATCCCATGCTAAAAAAATTTGGACCTGATATCAGATTACCTCCTTGATATAATAAATGTTTGATCTTGTAATGCAATATATTGATCAGATAGTATAATCATGGTTTCAAGCAGCAGTTAATGTGCCCAGACTAATATTTAAAACCATGACGGAGATGATCTGCATCATTTCTGAATTTTCAGATGACAGATGTTGAGTCAGAGTGAACCTTAACTCGGACAAATTTTCAATCAAATCCGAATTCTTTGATATAGTCATCTAGCCAGAATTGATGGATATCCATCTCCTTATTTCCTATTCAAACCTGTCACCTTTGTCTTGATACTTTAATTCCATATTGTACTTACTCTCCAACCACTTTGTAGATGATTTATCCAAAGCAATTCCTTGAGGAACTTCATGCTTTTCATTCTATATCCTGTAAAAATCCTGTTCTCTTTGCCCCGGTAAAAGTTATAGATTGGTTTAGGAATTATTTTCCATTCTTCTTCTCTTCTTTGCTTTCTTTTTTCTGCTCTCTGGTAAGACGTTGAATCTACCTATATTTAAAACCTAAAGCTTTCCAGCTGCAGATGGGGTGAAAAAGGGAATAGAAATGTGCCAATGCTTGACATCGATTTGAGTCTTACATGGAGCACTTAAAGTGTAATCTCAAAAATCTTGATGCCATATATTAGAAAAGCAGAACCACCTAAAAATAAAAAATTTAAGAGAAATACTGTTCTTCATTGTGATAATTTGACATGGCAATATGCAGATGTTGGATCTGTTGCTTCAACCATCATGTACGCCTTCTACTTGAATGAAAAACTTAAAAACAATCAATTCTGCACAGTGCCTGTTATCAACATGAAGAGGGCAGACCTAAATTCTCATGCTGAGCTTAAATGGCTACTTGATTCATGTCATATTGATCATGCGTCCTTGATTTTTGTTGACGAGGTATGTTCCAAATGACTACTGGAGACTTAGTTAGCAACATTGATCTATAATCAACTCAGAATAAGTAAAACATGTTCCATGTGTGAAGGCAGAGGAGGGATCATCTGATTTAATATCCCAATATTTGGTTTGCCTAGGAGATAAATGGGTCTTTATTATGTTCCTTTCAATGATAAGGGACAAAATGTTGCAGACTGTGCGTCCTAATGTTGACAAATGGTTAGGATCGTTTAAGGATATCTGTTTGTTCTTGCAAAAATTATCTTACAGTTCAAAACCTTGCTCTGTGCCGCTAGTGCACCTCCTCTTTATGCGCTGCAACTATCCTGCTAGGATCCCTCCATGTAGTTAGATGTCTAAAAATCTTTGGTTTTTCTTTTCCAACTACTTACCTAACTAAAATATGAAGTTTAAATTTCCCCTGCCTTTGTTTTCTGTTTGAAAATATTGGGCAGATTGATCTGTCATATTATGATCTGTTCGGGAGTCTTAAACTAGTTTTGCTAAACGGTGATAAGCTTCCATCCAAACAAGAGGTAATGTCTTGCTACTGTACATTGCTGTTTTTATTGTGAGCCATGTGCCATTATGGGTGTTTGCCTGCATGTTTTTGGAATAGGCAATAAAGGAGGCCCTGGTTGAGATCTTTAATTGCGGAAAGGTGAGTTTGGTTAGCTTTACATGGTTGAATGCTCATTAGTTATGCCCTCTGGTAAATACCTTAATCTTCATGCAATGTATATCATAATGTTTTACTTCGTTTACAGCATGATCCTCCATATCCTGGGGTTGATACTGTCACTGTCGGACAGGTACAATGATTATAAGAGCAGTGTATTTGTTTTACTCAAAGTAATATTCATAATTGACACCAATTGAAAAGGCTATAATCAAAACTTCCCTTGTTATTGGAATTCTGGGCAAAAATTACTAATTTTCTTGTGCTCGATATTGTGATATACTATGGGTTCTCGTCATAGTAGAATCATATCCTAAGGAATTACATTTATGGCTCGTTGGCTGCTCCCTTGCAGTGAGAATTGCATATTTATGAAGGTATTGATTATGTATATGACAATAGAGAGTGGATACTCGGTCTTTGTTTACTCTTCATTCCACATTAAAGGTTTTGCCAAAAAACAGCATACCACCTTATGGTTGTGTACTGAAGTGAAAAGCCTAACACCGTTTAGAAAAAAAGAAAATGACAATTTTACCCATTTTTCCTCCTTCATTCCTTCTTGTTTTCTCTTATATGTATGTGCATATATATACATACACGCATATATAGTGAGAGAGTTCAAAAGGGTATATGTGAAAGGAGTTAATTAGTATTTTAATATGAATATGGAGTACAGATGGAGTCTCTAGCAAATGTGACCAGTTAATGAGAAGTAACAATAAGAATAAATACTGCCCATATGTTGTTGATTCATTTTGCCGCGGCGACGGAGTTCATGGGTTGAACGGGTATGGAGATGCCAAAGAAGAGTCAAGAAACAGATGTCCACTGCAACATTTCAATTTTGAAGAAGAAAAGAAAAAGAAAAGGAAGAAGAATTAGGTAGAAGGGGCATTTTTGATATTAAACATGATTTTTTTTTAGGGAAACAATGAAAACAAAGCCTACAACACGTATATGGCGAGTGAAGCACACCCTCCAATTTGGATAACAAGAGTTACGGCTTCATTTTAGTACACAACCATAAGGGGATTATGTGCATAATGTTAAAAAGTTGAGGAGGTAGGTTTACTGTTCTCCGGCAAAAGCAGTAAGAGGTAATTACTCGCTCAATCTGAGAGTCTCATAATATCACAAACACTCACATAGATTTTGTTGAGTGCATGAAGTGGAAGGGAGGGCTACATATATGGATTTTTTCCTTGTGGGCATTGTTTATTAGAAAACTTTTGTGTGTCTGAATTTTTTGGTGTTGTTTCTCATGGAATTGAATCAAGTGTAGAACAATTGAAGAAACTGCCTTTTCAGTTCAAACTTTATTTTGAAAACAAGAGTCTGGAATCATCATATTTGAATGCAATGTAGTAATTATCTTACCATTAGATATACACGAAGCTGTTTTCAAATCTGGATAAAAAGGTCAAGCATGTAACATTTATACGTAATACATCCGTGATTGAATTTGAATTTTTCTTCTGAAAAGGATGTTTTAACTTTCGCCCGCGATGGGGGAAGGTGGTGGGGGGGGGGGGG